GCTTGTTGTTTGTCTTTTCTCTGATCACAAATGCAGACATGGTTTTATGTTTACGCGGCGCGATGCAACGCAACGCGTAAAAAGACAGTATGAATCATTATAATCCATAATTATGTCCCCACTGGATGCAACGAATGCCTCGTTTATAATGGGTTTTCAAGTTTTTTAATCATCGCTCCAGTCAGCGGGAGTCCGGCCTGACAGGGCATCAACCATAGACATAAATACTATATGTATTTATATGTCTATGGCATCAACAGTATGTAAGGGGCGTAACATTTCCGTCACACGCTTGAGGTATTTGGCCAATCACAATGCACTGGATAGCTGGCCAATCAGAACACACCTCGCTTTTCAGACCGATGAGCTTTGTAAAAATCAACACGTTTCAGAAAGGCGGGGCATAGAGGAGAAACAATAATGTACAGTATGTGGAAAATAATGTGTTTTTTTAACCTTAAACCGCATAAACACATTTCATTACACCAAATACACAAAATTATGTTCTTTTTAGCAGCATCATATGATCGCTTTAACTGATAAACAATACACGTTCATTTCAACAACATTAGCTATGATTCCAGTCCCCTAATGCCAGAAATCATCTATATCGATGCTTTATTTTTTTATATTAAACATATATGTTAATATTTTTAAACACATAAAAAAAATCCCTCCTAAAGCTGCTTTTGACAAAACTATTATTTCATTTGCAATCCCTACGACGCGAAACCTTTTCACCCGCTGCTCCTATTGGTTCTCACGCCTGTCAATTATCTTTTCCGTCATCTGATTGGATGAGGGGTGGGTCATTCAATTGAATGAGTAGCGGAAGTAGAGTCGGACGCTGGTGCTAATTTTTTTGACAGGAGTGAACCTGAACACACAATTCAGGTAGAAGTTGTGTTACGTTTTGTTGTTAATCTCTTGGATATTGCTTAAAGAGAAACCGTACGTTGGCTATTACAGATGATAAGATAATTATATAGCGAATTATTGCACATGTTATGCATGGCACAGATTTGCGGGATTTCATTGTCTGATTTCCTGCTCTATCAAGTGTGTTAACAGTATTAGCTGATCAGTAAAGTCCCAGAAGTGAAAGAGAAACTCTCTTTGTCAGTGCTGATTGACCTTTCAGCCAAAATCCAAACTTCTGACTTTGTGTGTTTGTATTTTTACATCTTACTGTATAACTATTGGATTGTATTAGCTGTGTGTGCGTAGAGAGAAGTTCAGATGTGAAGCTGTGATGTGAATCCCCAAATAATAACCAGGTGATTTTGTGCTTTTGCATAGTAAGATATTTAATCAGTGACTGATGTTTTTGTGAATTTTCAGTGGAGAGGGATCAAGCTGCCTAAAGACTGAAATGGTGGACTCTCAGTATTACCTCCCAAATGACATCGGGATCTCTGCTCTGGACTGCAGGGAGGCTTTCAGGCTGTTGTCTCCCAAAGAGCAAATGTATGCACACTACCTCTCTCGGGCGTCCTGGTACGGTGGACTGATCGTGCTGATCCAGACCTCTCCTGAGTCTGCCAACATCTACGTACTGTTGCAAAAAATGTTCTGCGGACAGGCGCCACAGCAGCTGGAGGCAGTGGCGACTGCAGCTGGACTGAGCGCAGAGGAGTATCAGGTCAAACAACCTGTCACGAACACCAAAGTTTGCTAACATGCGTTCTGTGTTCATTTTTCGTAACCTCATTCTGTCTGTTTCCAGGCCTTCCTCGTATATGCTGCTGGACTTTATGCAAACATGGGGAACTACAAGTCATTTGGGGACACCAAATTCATCCCCAACCTACCAAAGGTCAAATACCCTACTTAATATGCCCCATTTGTGCTTTATCAGAATTGTATGTAATAATATAAGTTGTAGTGTTTGATAATTCTGTCTATTTTAATATGCAGGAGAAGTTCAAGGCTCTGGTGTGGGAGACTCTGGCCTTTAAACAGAGCCCTGGCGACATGGAGACACTGTGGGGCTACTGCTGTGAGCTCCTCTACTCCCTAGAAGACAAGCAGAAACAGCTCGGTCTGGGTGAGAAGGTAAAATAAATGTAAGATATCATACAATCTGACTTGGTTTGGTGTTTTACCTAATAATGCCTTTCTCCTAGGGGATCTCGGCATACTTCTCAGGGAACTGCTGCTTAGAAGACGCAGAGTTTGCCCAGAAATTTCTGGACTCCAAGGTATAGTGCACATGTGAGGGATCCGGCTAGTTCATTGAAGTAATATGAAAACTGTGTGGAATTAATGACACAAATACAATATTATCTCTCTCTCTGCTTTCGCTGCTCCCATTAGGGTTTGGCACAGCGGAATCCGCACATATAGAATGTTATCAATTTTTTTTCAATATTAACTAGGGGTGTCATGTCACAATATAACGCAATACAAAAATGCTTCATTATACATTATGTATAGTTCACCCAAAGTTAGCATCAAATATGGTCAACCCAAGAGGTCACACATTTGAGCTTCCATGTTTATTAATTATTATTAATAAATAAAAAATAAAATACAATATTTAAATCTTTTTTTAATGTTTAACCATATGTGTCTTACATGGTACTGTATTTTTAGCTAAACAGAATGATGTTCTGGTGTCATCATTGGCCTCTTCATGGGGGAGAGCAACTAAATCCAAGCCGATTCAAATTCTCCCTGATCTAATGTCAAATTAAGAGTTTTAGTGAACGGTATGTTTTAACTGTTTGCCATATGTTAGAAGTAGGAAATGAAATGATTTAGCATTTTAGCTCTATTTTGGCTTTGTTCAAAGTGAGAGTATTGTGTCGTGAGATCAGTCTCGTGTATTGAAAAAATTGTGACGTGAGCACCCCTATTATTATCACATAAATGAAGTTATATGAAGTATTAACATAAAGTTACATAGTAATATATATATACATTTAAGAAGTTATATATAAAGAAAATTATATAAATATATTTTTATTAAATTCCTGCTTTTGTTATCATTGACAGAATTGTGTATATATATAAAAAAAATTTTTTACTATATTTTATCATGTATTTTGATCCCAGGGAACACACATATTGGGAAAATGTCAAACATTGAATACCTTTTAAATAAAAGCATCGGCCAAGTGCATAAAATGAATTCATAATTTGGAAGAAATGTCAATAACAATTTACAATAACGTTCATTTTGTTAGCATTAATGAATCCATTAGATGTTCTGAGCTAACAATAAAGAATACATCAAGAGCATTTAAGTATTAACATAAAGTTACATAGTAATATATATATACATTTAAGAAGTTATATATAAAGAAAATTATATAAATATATTTTTATTAAATTCCTGCTTTTGTTATCATTGACAGAATTGTGTATATATATATATAAAAAAATTTTTTACTATATTTTATCATGTATTTTGATCCCAGGGAACACACATATTGGGAAAATGTCAAACATTGAATACCTTTTAAATAAAAGCATCTGCCAAGTGCATAAAATGAATTCATAATTTGGAAGAAATGTCAATAACAATTTACAATAACGTTCATTTTGTTAGCATTAATGAATCCATTAGATGTTCTGAGCTAACAATAAAGAATACATCAAGAGCATTTATTAATCTAGGGTAATTTCTAAATATACTAATGTGTTTTAACATTTCAGGTCGTATAAATGAACATAAGTACTATGAACAAATATGAATTATGTGTTAATAAATGAACATTAGTATAGGTTAATAAATACTGTAAAAGTATTATAACATTATTGTTCATGTTAGCTAATGCATTAACTAATTTTAACCAGTTGAACAATGTTGTAGCTTATTCATTCGTTTACATTTGTGCATTTTGGTAGACACTTTTATCCAAAGAGACTTGCATTGCATTCAAGGTACACATTTAATCAGTTCTTGCTTTCCCTGGAAATCGAATCCATGCTCTTGTTGTATCCTTTACTGACCGCAGCTATTTCTGCACAAATCTACTAGTTTACCAATAATAATCATCCTTGTAGAACCTGAGTGCCTACAACACCCGTCTGTTCAAGACTGAAATAGATGGGAAGCGGTGCTATGAGGTGCGTCTGGCATCTGCCGAGAAGGGTGAGTATACAGAGCAGCTTAAATCCAGTTTGATATAAATCACTTGACTGTTTTCTCATTGCCGGTATTTGCCTCCCATCTGCAGACAACTGTGCTGTTGAGGGAAAGAGTGACGTTTGTTGTGGCAAATATGAATTTGAGGATTCTGTGTTCTCTGTTAAGAGAGGCGATTATGCCTTTCTTATGGAGAAAGCGTGTCAGAACTTGGAAAAAGCCAAGGTATGGCAATGTTCAACCTAAAAAAAAACACTGATTCATTGGTACTTTTGGATGTGAAATGAATAGCATGACCTTTTAAAGCATCAGTAAAGGTTTTTTTTGTTTTAGGATTATGCAGCCAATGAGAACCAGAAGAGGATGCTGGAGGAGTATATCCGCAGTTTCACCTGTGGCTCAGTGGAAGCCCATAAAGAAGGGTCCCGTTATTGGATCAAAGACAAAGGACCGATTGTGGAGAGGTGACTGACCCATATTTAACAGACCAGGCTGTTGACATAAGCCTAGATGCTTTGTTTCATTGTTGAACTATACTTATTTATACTATGCTTGCTCCTTCTTTTTAAAACCTTGTTGTTGTTGTTGTTCTTTTTTTTCTTCTTCATTTTTCAACAGTTACATTGGTTTTATTGAGAGCTACAGAGATCCATTTGGCTCAAGGGGTGAATTTGAAGGTGAGCTCAAATATTTGTGGGTCAACAAAATTATGCTTATTGTTTTGCCCAGATTTATTTAAAAATGCATTATGCAGTACAAACATACGGGAGCATGGCTTGAACACCTCTTCTATGATTAATATTTTTAATTTCTGGGGGGAAAAAAAGGCTAATTAATAGAATAAATTTCATAATTTAATTAGTTTGACAATCTTTTATTATTTATTTATTTATTATTATTATTATTATTACTTCAAAATCTTTGTGACCAACATGAATAAAACCCTACTAGTTAAAAGTTTGGGATCAGTATTTTTATATATATATATATATATATATATATATATATATATATATATATATATATATATATATATATATATATATATATATATATATATATATATATATATATATATATATATATATATTATTTAGCAATGGCACATTACGTTGACCATTAGTGTATAATGTTAAAAAAAATCTTTAAAAAAGTATCAGTTTCCACAAAAATATGAAGCAGCACAACTGTTTTCTATTTGATAGTAACAAGAAATGGTAAATGTGACCCATATTTAGAATGATTTCTGAAGGATCATGTGACTGGAGTAATGGCTTCTGGAAATAAATGGCATTTTAAAATATATAAAAATAGAAAACCATTATTATAAATTGTAATATTTCACATCATTACGGTTTAAACTGTATTTTTTAACAAACAAATGCAGCCTTGGTGAACATAACAGACTTCTTTAAAAAACCGACCCCAAACTTTTGAACTGTGGTGTAAAACAGGAAATGACACTGACTATGCTTAAAACAACCCTGTAACTCTTGTAGATACCCAATTACGACCACTATCCCCTTGTCCAAATACCCACACTTGCGGTCTTGGCCACTTGAGAGCGCGTGCGCGCGACAGGAAGTAAGTGCGCAAGACTGTCCCAGATCTTAAAAACGGCAAAGCGCAGTGCCCTTAACGCACTCTAAATCCACACTATCTCGAATACCGCTCCGGAGCGCTATTCGAGGCTTAGTGTATCCCATGATGCATCATGTCCTGGAAATAAATCGTGAGACTTTTTGCCAAGATCTCGTGAGAGGTCACGGAAACCTTTCCAATGTATGTGAAATATTAATAATAATTAGATATTACATATAATGTGGTAGTAAAACAAAGAGTTGCATGTTTTATTGGTGCAAATGAGTAGTGGTGATAATTATTTTGTAAAATTTTTGCAACTGCTTTTTATTTCTAGAAGCACCACAAAATTAAATTGTGTTAAATCTGTTATAAGAACTACTGAACAGACATTTAGAAGTTAATTTTAAAATGCAAAGTATTGAAAATAATAATAAAACTCTGTAAACACTTGCATTTTTACAACACTATAAGTGTGTCCCATCAGGTAATGAAAAGTTGTACACACACTTGTGGTCTTCATCCTCACTTGAACACTTAGACCAAATACAGGAAATACGTCATATAAGTAGTCAAGTGCAAAGACTGCAAGTGTGGGTATTTGGACAAGGCATCGGTCTCTCTCTCCTCCACACTTACCATCTCATCCATCAGGTTTTGTTGCCGTGGTGAACAAGGCCATGAGCGCTCGCTTTGCTCAGTTGGTGAGCTCGGCCGAAGTCTTACTACCAGAGCTGCCTTGGCCTCCAGCCTTTGAGAAGGACCGCTTCCTCAAGCCAGACTTCACCTCTCTGGACGTACTCACCTTCGCCGGCAGCGGCATCCCTGCAGGAATCAACATTCCAAACTGTAAGCCCTCTTATCCAACACGGTTTTTTCCCATGTGCAGTCAGGTCTTATTGATGAATGTTTAACCATTTATCCGTCTGTAGATGACGACATCAGACAGACAGAAGGTTTCAAGAACGTGTCTCTTGGGAATGTGCTGGCAGTTGCATATGCCACACAGAAAGACAAGCTCACCTTTCTTGAGGAGAACGACAAAGTAAGACGGATGACTGCTGTCTGTGAAATTCTAATGAATCAAACATGTTGTAATGGAGACTCAGAGTCTTAGATCTCTTCCTCTGTGGCTTATTCCTGTAGGACCTGTACATCAAATGGAAGGGTCCTTCTTTTGAGGTGCAGGTGGGACTCCATGAGCTGCTGGGTCATGGCAGCGGGAAGCTCTTTGTACAGGTAGCAAAGCACAGGCAGATCAACATATTGTTGTATATATGTGACTACATGTGCTAAAAAGGAAAGTTTGGGATCAGTACGTTTTTTTTTTGTTTATTCACCAAAGACACATTATGTTGATCAAAACTGACAGTAAAGACATTTATAATGTCTTTAAAGTTTCAATTTTAAATAAATGCTGCTTTTTTAAACGTTCTAGTCATCAAAAAATCCTGAAAAATGCATCAGTGTCCTCAAAAATATTAGGCAACACAGCTCAAATTTCAAATTTGATGAAAATAAAATGTTTCCTGACCACCAAATTAGCATATTAAAATGATTTCTTTCAAAACCAGTCAGACCCCAAACTTTTGAATGCTACCGATTAAAAAAAAAAAAAAATTGAAACACTAATTCTTCTGTACAGACAGGAGTGTTATTTGAGTTATTTTGAGGAGTGTATTCATTTCATGAATACAAATGTCTCACAGTTTCTTCATCTTATGTGTTTGTTTTGAAACAGGATGATAAGGGAAAATACAACTTTGATCAAACTGCTGTTCGTAATCCAGAAACAGGAGAACTGGTAAGTTTTTTTTTTTTTTTTTTTTAAAGCTTTTCATCACATTCATTAGTGGATTCCACTGTGTTTTATGCTCTTTATAAACTGTGCATTGCAAATCACAGTCATGAAATTTACATTTTGGATTTTAGATCTTGAGCTGGTACAAGGGTAGCGAGACATGGGACAGCAAGTTCTCCACCATTGCCTCATCCTATGAGGAGTGCCGAGCTGAGTGTGTAGGTCTCTACCTGTGTCTCAACAAACAGGTGCTCAGGTGAGTCACTGAACATTTAGTCACTTCTGCATGAATTCACTCAGCTGGAATTGCTGAGATATGGATGCTGAGGAATGTGTGTGTGCCGCAGTATTTTCGGGCATGAAGGAGAGGATGCAGAGGAGGTAGTATACGTGAACTGGCTGAACATGGTGCGTGCCGGTCTGCTGGGGCTGGAGTTCTACACGCCAGAGAGCAAGAGCTGGAGACAGGTGAGATGTGTGAATGCCCTGAAATCATTACTGTTTCTCTTGATTGTCTGCAAGTCTTAATGCTATCCTGGATGTCTCACCTTCGTAGGCACACATGCAGGCCCGGTTTGTGATTTTGCGGGTTCTGCTGGAGGCCGGAGAGGGACTGGTTGGTCTGAGGGAGTGTACAGGGGCAGATGGACAGCCAGATGTTGTCGTAACACTCGACCGCAGCAAGATATACACAGTGGGCAAGAGCGCCATACAGAGGTTCCTCTGTAAACTGCAGGTACAAGCCTGCTAACTGGGTTCAAATGGAACTCTAGTTTTTTAAAGGGGTCCTATTATGCTCTTTTACAAAGTCTTGATTTTGTTTTGGGGGTGTACTAGAACATGCTCTCATGCTTGGTGGTTCGAAAACGCATTATTTTTCACATAATTTACATTATTAAAAATACCTTTCTCCCCAGGCTGGCACAAACGGCTCGATTAGTTCCGGCTTTGATGAAGGTCCGCCTTCCAAAAAATAAAATGTGTTGTGATTGGTTAGCTGTCCCAGTGCGTTGTGATTGGCGAACAGCTTAGATGGTGTTTCAGTACTGCCCCGCCTCTTGCTCTGTCTTTCAACAAAATCTTTTGGCGAATCCGGCACTTCTCACTCGTGATGTGGAAGCTGTCCTCAGTAAAATGCACAGCGCACAAATTGGTGTTATAATGCTCAGGAACAGAGTTAAAAAGTAAATTGCAACCACTGTTTCCTGACATCATCCGCTTTCGGAAGCCCAAACAAAGGCTCTGTTTGTTAACACACCTGATTCAGATCATCTCGTTAGAAGTGAGCTCCGGGCATGAACTGTGTTCCGATTGTCATGCTCCCTACACAGTGTCCATTGCTCCCTACTCCCTGAGCAGGGGAGATCCGTTTAAGTTTACTTCACTTCGGAACATTCATTTAGAGATTTGCGCTGCTGCCTGCAGCGTCTTCACACACAAACGAAACTTACTAGAGAAGCGTGAAGTGGGACATAATATACCTCTGTAAATAAATACAATTTAAATTCACGTCTCGCACACTTAAATGCCCTTTGTATGGAACATATACGCTCCCTTCAAACTGGAATCATGGCAGAATATCCTGTAATGTCCACTTCGCAGGGCACTTACAGTCAAATATAACAAACGTATGAAGCAACAAGAGAAACATACAAAACGTGCAGAGCGGGGGTACGCGAGGACTGGAATTGAGAACCGCTGTTCTAGACATGCCAAAAAATTTACGCTACAGCACAGCAGCTCTTCTTCTTGGTTTTCTCTGATGCACTCACTCTGCAGCAGCACTTCGTCGTCGTCTCGTCTCATGCGCTCACTCAACCAAGCGTTCTAACCACGACCTCGCCCCTCCCCTCCCCACCCCCCAACCATTCGAATTTCTGTAGGCGGGAATTCTTTGTAATTAAATTCTAATGAGCCGCTTTGTGATATCACAAAGCCCGGAAACCAAACGCTGTAGTCCAAACGAGCCGTTTGCTGTAGTTCTTGAAAAGGGATTTTTGAGAGGTCCTTTGAGATTTGTAACTTTCTAGATCTTTTTAATGCCCAAACATACACACTACACACTAAAATTAAAAAAGTGAAAAAGCATAATAGGACCCCTTTAACTTAAATCTGCACCACATACACTAGCCTCCTGTTATGAAAATATAATAATTATACAATAATGTGACTTTATATCAGTGCTATTGAAGTATAATTAATATATTATTTTAGTTTTTATTAGTGCTGTCAAACGATTTTTTTGTTTACATAATATATGTTTGCTGTTTATTTATTATGTATATAAATACACACACAGTATATATTTCGAAAATATTTACATGTATATACATTAATATTATTGTATTATATATAAATATATTTAATATATAAACATAACATATTTTTCTTAAATATATACATGCATGTGTTTGTATTTATATATACATAATAAATATACACAGTGCACACACATATTATGTAAACACATTTTTTTTATTTTGGATGCGATTAATTATTTGACAGCCCTAATTTCTATTAATATTTTCATAATTTTCGTTTTCATTTGAGTAATTTTGTGTCATTTATATATTTAGTTTTTTTATGTTTATATAGTTGGTTTTTATTATTATTATTATAAATTTTTATTTCTGTTTTAGTGATTTTAGTCCTTCAAGTGAAACTAAATGAAAATGAGAAATGTTACCTTGGCAAATATCTAAAATAATTGTATTTGTTTTTATTTCAGTCAGGGTTTATCTTATTTTAAGTAATAAACGTTTACATAGTGTGACTTTATATCACAGTGCTACTTTATTCCTCATAATTGTGAATTTTGAGATATGATATATATATATATTAAAATATAATATAAATGAGATTCAGTGCCTCTGCAAATAGCCATGGTTCTGTTCAGCATTACCAAATGAGTTTGTATTTTGGTTTGATCATTTTCTTTTTGTAAAGGTGCACAAGTCCACAGCTGACGTGGAGGGAGGAAGGGCTCTGTATGAAGGCCATTCTGCTGTGACTGCTGACGGCACCCACAATTTCCTGCACCTCAGAGAGACGGTTCTGCTCCGTAAGGAAGCTCGCAAGATGTTTGTCCAGGCTAACACCTATATCAAAGGTTCGTGTTCAGTCTCCTTTCATAGCCATGTACCAGAAAATTACCATTCTCATATGATCAGACATAGTAACACAGCAACACATATGCATAAGAGGAATAATGTGCTGCTGTTTATGTTGTAGGTGACTCTGTGGAGCTGGTTGAGTATGAAGGCAGCGCTGCAGGGCTCATCCAGTCCTTCGTCGAACGCTTCCCAGACGATGCCGAGGAGGTAGAGGCCCAGCTGCTGCAAATGACCTGCTGGTGCTGAGACAACACAGTGCTGTGGGAGACATCCTCTCAGACAAGTATTAGACCACACTGAGCCACAGCAACTTCCAGAAATGAACAAAAGGCTGAAGAGTGCACATGGAAGGGACTGGTAATGATTATAAAACCATTCACATGTAGGAGGAAGGAAGAACCGCACACACAAATGTAACACCCAGTATTTTACCTTTCCCACTGATCTTCTTTCTATTTGGTCTATTCACTTCTAAACAAAGGCAACTCTGATTAGTTTGAATTAAAAATTTCAGTTCCTACTTCGAATCAGACCGCAGCCCACACTTCCCACATAGGCATGTGGAAGCGCTGACAAGAGTGAACTTGCTGTGTGAGGGTGGGACTTATGTAATCACAACACGTAACACACTTTCTCAACTTACTTTGCTACTTTTGGATCATATACAGTGTAGAGTTCAGCTGCTGATTCACTGGTATCTAGGAGAATTCGTTCTCGAGAATATAAATTCTTCACTGGTTTAAAGGATTTTTGGTTTCTCAAAACATGTTGTTAGTGTTCAGTGTGGGTGGTGAAAACCAACAGTCTCTACCAAATAAAACCAATTATTTCTGAAGGTATTTTATTGTCTTTTACTTTCAGAATACCAAAACATTTGTCCAATGCATTTCATATAAATATTACCATGATACAAGATGAACAATAAGACAAAATCCCATCTCTCAATACTGACCATCTCATAATAATTGGTTAATTACGGAGAACTGAGAGTTGGAGTAATGAAACCAGTCATTAATAACCAACCTATAAGAAGATTAAACATAATACACAAACAATTGCTTAATAATTTAGCCCAATGAAAAATCACACAACACCAGCTAAACATAATCCGTGATTAGCAGTATTGGACACTAAACCGGTTGATCTACAATCTTAAAAACAAAGGTTCCAATGCCATAGAAGAATGTTTGGTTAAAAAAAAAAAATCTAAAGAACCCTTTTACTATGAAGAACATATTGTGTAATAGAAAGGTTCCATGGATGTTAATATGTCTTAATGGAACCATAGATGTCAAAAAACAACCTTTATTTTTAAGAGGTGTAATCTTATCTTACATTAAATAAATGGTTACCATTATGAGCATATTATTATTATTAATATTTCATCAGCCTTTCTGTGAGAAATCAGGCATGCTGTATAAAATGCAGAATTGTTTTGACCTACATGTGACATCCGAAAATATCCCATATTATGAAGCCGCCTCTGTTAGATCCACCGCACTCCCTCTGTTCAACTTCTGGGACCTTTCATCCTGACCAGACGCCTGGTAAATAAGGGGAGCCCCACTCACACCCATGCTCTGCAGGTCTCAATCCGTGATTAGCAGTATTGGACACTAAACCGGTTGATCTACAATCTTAAAAACAAAGGTTCCAATGCCATAGAAGAATGTTTGGTTAAAAAAAAAAAATCTAAAGAACCTTTTTACTATGAAGAACATATTGTGTAATAGAAAGGTTCCATGGATGTTAATATGTCTTAATGGAACCATAGATGTCAAAAAACAACCTTTATTTTTAAGAGGTGTAATCTTATCTTACATTAAATAAATGGTTACCATTATGAGCATATTATTATTATTAATATTTCATCAGCCTTTCTGTGAGAAATCAGGCATGCTGTATAAAATGCAGAATTGTTTTGACCTACATGTGACATCCGAAAATATCCCATATTATGAAGCCGCCTCTGTTAGATCCACCGCACTCCCTCTGTTCAACTTCTGGGACCTTTCATCCTGACCAGACGCCTGGTAAATAAGGGGAGCCCCACTCACACCCATGCTCTGCAGGTCTTGAATCTGGACGTTAGGCGGGAGAGGTGTTAACACCCCATCTCTCCTCCAGTACAGGCTGTAATCCTCTGGCCGGTCCACTCCAAACTTCACAGCACAGAGCTGAGCCATAGCCTCACCGTTGAGCGCAGTCTTCCACATTAGAGTTTTTACCAAGCTACTGTCGCCATCTTGAAACAGCACCTTTATAAACCTCTGTAGCATAGAAACAACACAGGGCTCTTGTTGTTGGACTATACTTGCACAATTCAAATGGAGTAGTTGTGCTTTGTTCAACCAGTGTATCTGACCTGATGCAATTTGTTGTCTTTGTGACTTGTGGTTTCGTTGCTCCGGCGCCGGCTCCATTCTTTCAGAGACTCTCTGGCCTGGTTTGTAAGGCCGTTGGGTGGCACATCCTCCGGCTGACTCAGAATCAGACTCAAACTGGCATAGACGCTTGTCAGATAGTAACCCCCTTCAAGAGAATTTATAATAATAACAACAACAGTTATTTACAGAATGAAAACTTGAGTTTGGGTAAGAGTTGGGTAAGTTTACCAAATGTAAAAAATATAGAAGTTAGGCATGTATTCATGTATTGATTAAATGTGGAGCTCAAAATTCAGAAGGATATCTGAAATCAGTGTTTGTGGAGCTCTTTTCATCCGTACCTTCTCCTGTAAGCCAAGAGCTTTCCAAAAGCTCCATCATATACTCCACCTCCAGAGAGATCTCTGGCATATTGCACAGCACCATCACATAGGAGAGAGCAGGCAGGAAGTCATCTGCTCCAAATTCCTGCCCTGTTTTTAAGAATATAGATAAACGTTAGATGATGGCTAAGGTAATCTAAGTGTAAAAATATGGGAAATGAGCATGTACAATTCAATATCCAATATCGACCAATATGATAAATCAGCCAATAATCAATATGGTACCGATTTTATTGTGCATCAATACTAGTTATATCTTACTAGTTACCGGTTATATCAGTAAGGTTTTTTACTTTTAAAAGAAATTAATTTTATTCAGCAAAGATTATTTAAATTAATCAAAAGTGACATTAAAGACATTGTTACAAAGATTTCTATTTCAAATAAATGTATTTCTTTTGAACTTTCTTTTCATCAAAGAATATTAAGCAGCACAACTGTTTTTCACATTGATGATAATAAATGTTTCTTGAGCACAAAATCTGAATGATTTCTGAAGGATCACATGACACTGAAGAATAAAGTAATGGCTGCGTAAAATTCAGCTTTGCATCACAGGAATAAATTACATTTTAAAATATGAAAAAAATGGTAATAATATTTCACAATTTTATTGTTTAACTATTTTTGATACATGAGCATAAGAGATTTTTGAATGGTATTGTATGTGCAAAAATAAATCTACGTGTGTTATTCCAAAACCTTTTACCTGATTTGTTTTTCATGGCTTTGTAAATGAGTTTGCAGATCTGCAAGAGCAGCAACACTTTGTCAATGGGTGAGTACGCCCGCTGCATTAGAGTCAGCTTGTGCTTAATTTTCTCAATGCCCGGGGCGTCAGGAACGCCCACCTGAACCCCAAAGAGCTTCTGCGGTGAGGTTCCTTTGGCTCTTTGCAAACTGTCCATCATTCTCTGGAAGGAACCATCTTGTTTGTGCAGGGTCCGAAGAGCCGCGTCAATCTGAGGCTTCAGAGGCTTTAGCACACAGCGGAACATGGCCTTTTCCAGCGCTTGGTCTGCACACAGGAAAATATGGTTGTATTGCAACATTTAAGTGTGTAAATAATACCAACAACATTATTAGGTCAAATCACACTGACTTAAATACCTTTCTCATTCTCAGTCAGAAGAGTTTCTATCGGAGGTTCCAGCTCTCCACACTCCAGAAGGAATGCTTTGGCCTGATTGATGAAGAGACGCAAATCCTGCAGCAGCTGTACAGCAGAGGTCAAGCAATGTGGCTTCAGCGCCTCTCTCTGTTGCCTCAGGAAGTCCTGAACCAGAGCACCAAACGCCATGCGACGGTCACGAGACAGGTCCTCCACCATCCGCGCCACTCGCTTCTCAGGGGCAAAAAAGGATATGAAGGCGGCGCTCATTTTGCGCAGGGCGGACATGGACTTCCTTGGAGGCGGCATGACGGGGTTGCTAGTGCCTCGTACGAGGGGAGGACGTTCAGGACTCTCCTCGGCCTCGTCGAGGCTGCTGAGGGAACTGCTGCTGTCCAGCTCACTGAGAGACGGAGCATGTCGTTGTTCCAACACAAGCCCTTCCTCCTCCTCCTCCTCCTCCTCCTCCTCCTCATCTTCTTCCTGTCCTTTCTGCTCCAGGATTTTCAGCTGGGCCTAAAAAAGCAAAGAGGCAGTCATTCAAAATTCAGAAATGAAACTAAAATGTCCCATAAAATCAGCTCTGAAAAGGTTCAGTACCTTCTGAAGAGCTATAGGCATCTGATAGTCTTCTTCAGCAGTGGGAGAAAGAGTAGAGGTGACCTTGGCTTTCTTCTGTGACACTACACAAGGTTGCATATAGTCTGTGGCTTCCTCCACAGTCTTCTTGATAGCTTCCTCACTGGCCTGAACTTCAACAGGTGGGATCATCTGCTTTGCAGCTTTCAATCTAGCTTTGCATTTGGCTTTAGCCAGTAATGGCGGTGGAGGTGGTGGGAGGACAGGGGGCGACAAGGGGCTGGAATTTTCAGTGGAGACACGAACCTTCACACTGGTTTTGAAATGATGACGCCTGCGCATGGCGTTGCGACCTGGGTAGTCTTGTAGGAAAAGAGGGTTGACAAAACATAAACCTTTGCCTCCCCCGTAATCTAGCTCGCAGGGACTCCGTGTTTGGATTGGACAAAGCTCCTGGAATGGGGTGGGGTTTGGGTTGATGGGCGTTGAGCAGTCTTGTGGGCTTGGAGTTGGAGGCAAGAGTTTGTCAGTGGCAGGAGGTTCATTGCGAGGACCCCGAACATTTAAGTGGGAACTCCAGAACTCTGTGGAATACAGAAAGTCATCAAGATCATGATAACCATATTTTATGATGCATATTAGCTGATATTTATGAATTGTAAAAATAACAATATATCATGAATGTATCTGTTATTGACACACACATACGATTTAAAATAACAGTTTTCTATTTGAATATAAATTAAATAAAAAGTCATTTATTCCTGTAATGCAAAGCTGAATTTTTTGCATCATTACTCTGGTCTTCAGTGTCACAAGATCTGTCAGAAATCATTATTTCTAATTATTATCAAGGTTGAAAAGAACCATATTACATTTATTGAATTCTTTGATGAATAGAATGTTCAAAAGGACAGCACTGATTTGAAATAGGAACATTTTGTAACATTATGCTTTTACTGTCACTTTTGATCAGTTTATTGAATTTTTGCTAATAAAATAATTAATTTCTTTAACATTAAAAAAATTTTGGCCACTTTTTTTTTTGTGCCAATTTAGCCTTTTTTGTACCATACAAGAAGCAATGATCTACCATGCCTTACAGAACGGCTTTTTTCAAACCTGCAGTTCATTTGAACAGACTCTGAATCTTGTACCTACCCACACCCATATGAGAGATCGACTCCAACTGTTTGTGTGAAGAAGCCTTAGCAATTGCTTCAGGCAGCTCCAGAGTGAAAGGAAGAAC